GTCTCTCCCTCGGGTATGGCATTTGGAAACCTCGGTACACCAAGACAATCCGTTCCTGAAATAGGAAAAATAAGTATTTGTTCAGCAACTCTTTAAAAACAGATTACATACAATGTATGTAATATATTCTAAAATAATAGTGAAATATAGAATCAATGAATACTGGGCAATATTTTTCTCATAACTTGACAAAATGTTAGCCATTTTGACTTAAATTGTTCTACATCTGTTAAAAATACAAGATAGGAATGATATTAGAAGCCTGAAGAGATACTGGTAGCTGTAGCACTTCCAAATACACATTTAGTATTCACATTATTTTTTCCCATCCTTCTCGCCTGATATGGTTAGGATCTGTGTTCCCACCCAAATCTCATCTTGAATTATAATCGTCAGGTGTTGAGAGAGAGACCTTGTGGGAGATGATTGGATCACGGAGGCAGTTTCCCATATGTAACAAGATTTAATGGTTTTATAAGTATTTGGAAGGTCCTCTTTTGCTCACTCCTCTCTCTCCTGCCACCTTGTGAAGAAGGTGCCTGCTTCTCCTCTGCCATAATTGTTTCATGATGCCTCCTCAGCTATGTGGAACTATGAGTCAATTAAAACTATTTCTTTTATAAATTAACCAGTATTGGGAAGTTTTTATTGCAATGTGAGAAAATAGTAATACACCACCTAGATAGTTTATTTCTGAATTTTTTGCTTCTGTCCAATGTGAATTACCTATAATAATCTTTTTAACATTTTAGAAAATATACTTATAGGGAGATTGCTGATAAACTGACAGAATATTGAATAATGATGATATTGATGAATAGAGGACAGCTATGCTCTAAGAACAGAGATGAGAAGTCTGATGATGTACATCAGAGGATGCTGAGAGCTCACACAAGTTGATGTGAAAATGAAGCAATTTGGTTTATCATGTCAAACATTTTAATTACTAGAGCTATAATTTCCCACAACACTCCAGAATATTCAAGAAAACCTTGTGAAATTCTAGAGTGACCGCTTACTTGTTTATTGGTAACACATACTTTGAATGAAGAATATTTATCATACATGTAATAAAATACAAAACACCATACTTTTGCATGCTGGAGGTTGGGACCATTTTTCTCCCAAGCATTTTGCAGTGGCTGGCCCAACAATTCCAAAACCTTCAAAACATGTGTATGTAACTTCTTCTTCATACTGATAACTGTCTGACATGTGAGCTACAGCACCATTTGAAATCTTAGGTGGAGACTTACAAGGAAGACCTAAGGAAAGAAAAAATCAGGTTTCACTAATTCAGAAATTTAATTTTATGTACCTATTTTTATATTTAGTAGTTTTATTTGAAAATAAACAACACAGGAGTTACTATGATATCACAGAGAAGTGCATAAATGTTTCCTAAAACCAACATTCTGGTGTCTGTCCATCTAACCAACTGTCATGAACTGAGCAAGGACTTGAAACTAAAAATATCAAACATTTAAGAAAGAGATCATCAATGCCTCTGTAAGGAATGCCTCTGTAAACTTATTAGTGATAATAAGATACACATTGGGGGTTAACAATTCCAGGTAAAACATAATATATTGTAGGAAATCAGAAGGGGCCTTCTGGGAAGAATGTAAAAGAAGTTTTAAAACCTAGTGGCAAAGCAAACACGACAACTTACAGAACACGTAGTGATATGATTTGGCTATGTCCCAACCAAAATCTCATCTTGAGTTGCAGTTGCCATAATCCTCCTGTGTTGTGGAAGGAACCTCGTGGGAGGAAACTGAATCATGGGGGTGATTATCCCTCTGCTTCTGTTTTCAGAAGTGAGTTCTCATCAGATCTGATGGTTTTATAAGGCGCTGATTCATCTTTGCTTTGCACTTCTCCTTCTGCCATCATGTGAAGAAGGACATATTTGCTTACACTTCCACCATGGTTGTATGTTTGCTGAGGCCTCCCCAGCCATTTGGAACTGTGAGTTAATTAAACCTCTTTCCATTATAAATTATGTAGTCTTGGGCAGTTCTTGATAGCAGTGTGAGAACGGACTAATACAGTTAATTGGTACCATAGAGAGTAGGGTGCTGCTGTAAAGATGACCAAAAATGTGGAAGTGACTTTGGAACTGGGTAACAGGCAGAGGTCAGAACCATTTGGAGGGGTCTGAAGAAGACAGGAAACCATGCAAAAGTTTGGAACTTCCTAGGAATGTGGAGGGCTCAGAAGACAAGAAGAAGTGGGAAAGTTTGGCACTACCTAGAGACTGGTAGAATGGCTTTGACCAAAATGCTTATAGTAATATGGACAATGAAGTCCAGGCTGAGGTGGTCTCCAATAACGATGAGGAACTTGTTGGACATTGGAGTAAAGGTCACTCTTACCATGCAAAGAGACCGGTAGCATATTGGCCTTGCCCTAAAGATATGTGGAACTTTAATTTTCTTTTCTTTCTTTCTTTTTTTTTTTTAAAGGAAGTGGTTGCCTCTGGAAAAGGATAATTTGAGTGGGTTGGGTAAAGGGGCAGGGCACTGCTGGTTTTTATGCCAAGCCTTGGGGATTATTTAACTTCTTAGATTACATGCACATGCAACTTTTTTCTATGATCTTTTAAATTTTAAAATTGATACATAATAATCACACCTATTTATTGGGTATATGTGATAGTTTAGTACATGTATACAACATGTAATAATGATCAGGAGAACTGGAATAGCCATCACCTAAAACATGTGTCATTTCTTTGTGTTGAAATCATTCAAAGTCTTCTCTTCTAGCTGTTTTTAAATATTTAACAAGTTATTGTTAACTGTAGTTCATTAAAGGTCATCAAATTAAAAAAAAAAAGATATGTGGAACTTTAAACTTGAGAAGATGATTTAGGCTATCTGGAAGAAGAAATATCTAAGTGGCAAAGAGCTCAAGAGAAAGCAAAGCACAAAAGTTTGAAAATTTGCAGCCTGATAATGCAATAGAAAAGAAAACCTCATTTTCTGGGGAGAAATTCAAACCTGCTGCAGAAATTTGCAAAAGTAATGAGAGCCAAAAACAGTGGGGAAAATGTCTCCAGGGCATGTCAGAGGCCTTCATGGCAGCCCCTCCCATCATAGGCCAAGAGGCCCAGGAAAGAAAAAAGTGGTTTCATGGAAAGGGCCTAGGGTCCCACTGCTCTATGCAGCCTCAGGGCATGAGGTGCTGTATCCCATCTGCTTCAACTCTAGCTGTGGCAAAAGGGGCCAACATACAGCTCGGTCTGTTGCCTTGGAAGGTTAAAATCCAAGCCTTAGTAGATTGCACATAGTCTCGGGCCTGTGGGTGCACAGAAGTCAAAAATTGAGGTTTGGGAACCTCCACCCAGGTTGCAGAGAATATATGGAAATGCCTGGATGTCCAGGCAAAAGCTAGCTACAGGGTGGAGCCCACATGGATAACCTCTCCTAGGACATTGAGGAAGAAAAATGTGGGGTCAGAGCTCTCACACAGAGTCCCCATTGGGGCACTGCCTTATGGAGGTGGAGCTTGGAGAAGAGGGCCACCATCCATAAAACCCCAGAATGGTAGATCCATTCATAGCTTGCACCATACTCCTGGAAAAGCCACAGAAGCTCAATGTCAGCCCATGAAAGCAGCCAGGAGGGGGACAGGGTTACAGGGACAGATCTGCCCAAGGCTGTGTGAGCCCACCCACCTTTTGCATCAGCATGACCTAAAGGTGAGACATAAAGTCAAAGGAGATAACCTTGGAACTTTAAGGTTTAATCATTGCACTATTAAATTTCGGACTTCCAACAGGCATGTAGCCGCTTGGTTTTGGCCATTTACTCCCTTTTGGATTGGGAGAACTTACCCAATGCCTGTACCCCCATTATATGTAGGAAGTAACTAACCTGTTTTTGATTTTACAGGCTCATAGGCAGAAAGGACTTGCCTTGTCTCAGATGAGACTTTGGACAGGAATTTTGAGTTAATGCTGGAATGAGTTAAAGAGTTTGGAAATTTGGGGAAGACATGATTATGTTTTGAAATGTGAGGACATAAGACTTAGAACATGGTGGAATCATATGGTTTGTCATGTCCCCAACCAAATCTTTTTGAATTGTCATCCCAATAATCCCCACATTCCATGGGAGGGGCCCAGTGGGAGGTAATTGAATAGCTGGGGCTGTTACTCCCATGCTTCTATTCTCATGCTAGTGAGTGAGTTATCATCAGATCTAATGGTTTTAAAGAGGGCTTTTTCCTCTTTGCTCAGCATTTCTCCTTCCTGCCATCATGTGTTTTCTTCTCCTTCCACCACGTTTGTAAGTTTACTAAGGCATCCCCAGCCAGGCAGATCTGGGAGCTAATTAAACCTGTTTCCTTCATAAATTACCCAGCATCAGGCAGTTCTCTTTTTTTTTTTTTTTTTTT